GTGTGTATGGTATGAGGTGTGTATCTACTGTGTATATGTGATTTGTGTATATTTCATGTGTATGGTGTGAGGTGTGTATATGGTATGTGGGGGTGTACAGTGTGTGTGGTATGTGTATGCTGTGTATATGTGATGTGTGTATGGTGCAAGGTGTGTGTCTCCTCTGTATATGTATTTTGTGTATAATGAGTATGTGTGGTGCAAAGTGTATGTACAGTATGTGTTGTGTGTGGTGTGTGATACGTGTATGCTATGTATATGTGGTATGTGTATGGTGTAAGGAGTGGGTCTATGGTGTGTATGGTGTCTGTGTGTGTGTGGCATATATATGCTGTGTATATGTGGTGTATGGTGCAAGGTATGTGTACATTGTGGTATGTGTATAACGTGTGTGGTATATGTATGTGATATGGGTGTACAATATGTCGGGGCTGTTGGGCCAAGTGCCCCCATGGACTGCCTCTCTGCCAGCCCCATGGTCCCACTCACTGACTGTCTGGCCCTCACCCTGCAGGTAGGGAGGCTACACCTGTGTTTTGTGCAGGCTTCAAGAGAAAAGCGCTAGAGGTAGGCAGAGTAGGCTGTGAAGCCTGGATGGCATGTCCAGTGTGTCTACAGCCCTGAACTGGCCCCTTGGCCCTGTGTTCAGAAGCAGTTGGCATCGCATCCCAGTGCAGCCTTGGAGATTAATTGGTGCTTTTAATTATTGGCTGGTCTGCAGAAGTAGAAAGGAGCAGGATGGACACATTGCTCTGAGCAGCGGCTGGGTAGAGAGAGGCTAGCGGGCTCACGGGGCTCCAGTCAGCCCCCTCTGGACCCGCCTAGTAACAGGCTCATGGGGCTTGGAGACAGCCTTTTGCTGAGCCCCTTTAGCTGTCACCAGGGTGCTAGTGGTACCAGCTAGGGCCCAAGTTCTGGTCTGGGTCAAGGCTGGCCCCTTGCTTATAGTGGTCTGCTCGGGGACTGGCCTTGTCCATTCCCTGCTCTTCTACATGCTCAGACATGATGGAAACCCCCCTGGTGTTTCTCCCTCTCAGCCCTGTAGGACAGCTTTCTGGGCGTCCAGATGGGGCTGCTCCAGCTTCTTCCTCCACATCATCAGCTGATATCTTTCCAGATGCACCAGGAGTCCCCTGATAAACAAGTCTCTGTTCCTGGGTGGCTGTCCTCAGGGACGGAGCAATGCCTAACCCAAAGAATGGAACCCAGTGCTCATTTCTCTCCGGTGGTAGGTGCATACACAGATCACGGATGCATCAGGAACAGCTGTGGTCCCTGCTGCCCAGTGTCCATCACTTCCTGCTGTAGCAGGTCCTCGCACTCCCTGCTGTGCCCCATCTGTCTCTCCTCTCAGTCAGGGGGTTAGGATAGAGCTGGCACCAGCAGTGCCATTGCTTAGCTCTTGGCACTTCACATGTGATGGAGACAGAGGGTACTTTTGCAGTCAAGAAACACCTTGGGATTGGGGCCCAGGATTCTCAACAGGCAGCCTCCCCAGGTGGATGTGTGCACTAAGGCTGTCCCAGTGGCACCAACAGCACCTTCCAAAGAGGGAAGCTGAGTCTGTTGATGATGTTTGATACTCAGGGTTGAGATCCTTTCCTAGTTTGCACAGTGCAGAGTTGACTTCTGTGCCTTGCACCAGACAAGGTTCTGTCAGACCTCTGACACCTGGAACCTGATCCCATCTCCTCTTCCATATGTGAGCTCCGTGGTGAAGCGATCCCAGGGCCTCCCGAAGGCTTTCTCAGCCCATAGGCAGGAGGGGACACAGGATGCTGATAAGGACTCTCACTTCAGACAGCCTTCTGAGCCCAGACTGGCTGCCATGGACAGTAGCCATCTTTCCAAGCTCGACTTTCTGATTTAATGAGGTTTCTTGCCCAAAATGTCCAAATTTGAAACTTCCCAAAGCAGACCTGTTTCAAGTATAACTAGGAAGGGAAATGGTGGCTTGAAATAAACATGTCACAAAGAAAAATACTTTTCGGTTAGAGGGGCTCTGGCTGACTTGGGCCCTGACCTCTGCCATGATGGAATGTTCCAGAGAACGAAAGGTAAATTAAAACACACTGTAAAAAGATCTCTGCTGTCTCCCAATTATTTATTTTTCTGAACTTGGCGAAGGAGGGTTTAATGAAAATGCCCTCAGGCGGGTATGTGGGCAAATTGGAAGAAAGCGTGTGGTTCTTCTCAGCACATGACAGATGGTGCTGCTTAGGGGGAGCTGTATCCAGGAGGCTCAGACAAGCATCTTCAGCAAAGCTTTGCTCAGAGGTTTGCAGGAGGGGGCAGAAGACACAAGATCCCTGGATCTGCCTTTGTGCTGATTCTTTTGGGGCTTGGGGTCTGAGGCTGTTTGTTACACAGCACTACTGTGGTGATTATTGATCAATATGCTGACTGATACAGCAATGTGGGCAGAGTTCCACCCACTGGTTTCCAGTATGTGACCTTTGGGCAAGGTGATTTACAAGACTTCTAGTTCAGAACACGAATTCCAAAAGGAAAAAAAAATTACACATTCTTTTTCTGCCATAGGACTCTACAACCAGAGAACGTACGGCATTGGAGGTTTTGCTTTCCACTCTGCCTGCAAACCGTGGTCTGACAGCTTACAGGGCCACACAGCGCTACATCTTCTGGGGTACAGGAGGGGGAGCACTCTGTCCCAGGGCTGAGGGTACCAGAGGAGACTGAGCCAAGCAGAACAGCCGTCGGTGAGTCACCATCCCCAAATGGCCAGCAAATGGCACACACCTGCTTGCTCACCCCCACCACACCTGCCAGCCTCACTCTGGGGGGTTTGGCCACTGGACAGTCATGGTGGCATCTGCCCAAACTGACCACTCTTCCAGAAGGTGACAGATGTTAGCGGCAATGGGTCCTGTTCTCCTCTATAAACAGATTTCTCAAGACATGAAAAATTAGGGTAAATGAAGGGTGCATGATTAAATTCGGGCCCAAGCTGAGTTCTTATGGATGCCAGAGACAGCTGCAACTAAATGTCAGGGACAATGGCCCTGATGCAGTGGGAGCTGCCAGGCCGGGGTGCTGAGGGGACAGCTGGACGAGGTGCTGACAGGAGCTCATTCCTCTGTGAAGCCAGTCCGCAGCTGCTGGGAGCGCAGCCAGCCACAGGCTTGTGTGTGCCTGTGTCCCAGGGCTGTGCAGGCACAGTGGGGACAGGGTCCCACCCTGGGCCCCCTTGGTCTTGAGCTGGCTTCCCCTCTCAGGAGAGGAGCCCTTCACTCTTGCTCCCCTCTTTCTCTCAGGCTCTTTTTCTCCTGAAGCACAGAGTAGTCTTGAGGCAGCTAGGCCTCATCTCTCTCCTGAGGCTGCTCCTAACAACCAGAATTCTCCTGTAGTTTCTGCTCAACAGTGCAAGTTCAGGAAGACCCTGTGCCTGGTGTTGATGAAAGGCAGCTCAGACCTGGTCCTGGCCTGCCTGTGACCTGCAGGGCATTGAGGTGCAGGGAGAAAGGAAACATCTCAGAGACCCCACCTGGCAGGTGGCCCCGTTCCCCCCCTCCCCCCCACCCCCGACAAATCTTCCAGGCACTGCACTTTGGCCAGGGTTTGCAGAGGTTTTTATTTTTATTTTTCTAAGTGAAACACAGTCTTGGGGAATAAGACACATCGGTGTCTAAAAGTTACTTTTAAATTGTTCCTTAGTATAGATGAAGAAGCCAGTCTGATGTGAATGACATGACTATTCTGGAGGCGAAAGCAACGCCAGGCAGGCAACGCCAGGCAGGTGATTCTGAAGCTACACCAGTGCAGGGCTATCTTGTGTTGTTGTTGTTTTGTTCTCATTTAACATTTTTTAAAAATCGAGGTGGAATTCAGATAGCATGAAATTTTCCATTTCAGGCAAACAGTTCATCAGTATTTAGCACATTCGCAGTGTTGTACAATCATCACCTCTGTCTAATCCCATGACATTGTCATTACTCCAGAAGGAAACATCACACCCAGTAACCAGTTGCTCCCCATGCCCTTCCCCCAGCCCTGGCAACCATCAGTCTATTTTCCTTCTCCATGAATTTTCCTGTTCTGAATGTTTCACATAAATGACTTTGTCTTCTCTCACTTAGCATGATATTTTGGGGGGTCATCCATGTTGTAGCATGTGTCAGAACTTCATTTCTTTTTATGAATAATACCCTGGAGCCCTCCTGATTAAATTCAGCCTGGAATGGGCAAGAACTGAGTCCTCAGCCAGCCTCTCCTCAGCCAGGCCCTGCCACATGTGACCCACTCCCAAGCCCATGGGACCCCGCAGGAAACTCAAACTCAGAGAGAGAGCTCGGAGCCCGGAGCACTGGATGCTGGAACAAGGGGCCCTTTTCTGCTCTGCACAATGCCCCATTGTACTGTTCCCGGGGGAGACTCTCCATGAGGGGACACTGAGAACAAAGAGATCCTTTGTGAGGACTGCCCCCACCTGAAAAGCAGCATCCAGGGTCACACCTGATGGTAGAGCTGTCCTTCCTTGCCTTCTGTCCCCTAAGCAGCTCAGGCATCCAGACAAGGACCCAGAAGCTCTGCAGGCTTTGGCTGAGTGAGGGTGCTAGGTTCTCTCCATTTTCCCCAAATGGCTGTGCTGGCCCATCTTGAGGAGGGGAGGTGCAGGTTGTGGCTTCCTGTGGAAGGACCTGGAGGCAGAGTGCAGGAGGGGCTAACCGCTCCTCCCATCCCCAGGGCTTCAGGCAGGACACGCTGCCTTGCCAGGGCCGCACCAGGGCAGGGAATGTGTTTGCTCTGCCTACTGCAGCCCCTTTTACTCATCCCACTTCACAGCTGGGCTCCCAAGGGAGGGGTTTTCATGGGAAAAAAAAAGAAACTTAAATTCACAATGTAAAATGTACATATATGCTGCTACTTCATCAACATGGGGAAGGTGGGAGGCTGGGGAGGAATTCTCAAAGCTGCTGGTCAGCCTGGAGTTGGAGGACCCAATCAATATCTAACCAATAAAGTTGGATCATTTGACCATATGTCAAACAACAATTTATGTCAAGACACAAGGAACAAAATTGAGAAACTAAACACAAGAATATGTAAAAACAAACACAAAACCAGGACAAACATTTGCAATATACACAGAAGGGCAGCATTTTCATATGTAAAGAGCTCTGACAAATAAGGAAAAACCCACAACTCAAAAGTTTCCTTTTGAGAGTCCCCATAGTCCCATTCAGCAGGGCTCTGATGCCTCCTCACACCAGCCACCCTCTCCTCTAGGGAACCTTCCACTGAGCTGTGGGCACGGCTTGGTGCTGTGGGCAGGTAAGGGCAGGAGAGGGTATGGCCTGGGTCAGGCCCAGCCCAGCGCAGGCTGACAGCCTCCACACTCTGGAACCAGGCGTCTTCCAAAAACGATGGAGGGGCAAGTGTCAGGGCCTCTGAAGTGCGGCTACCCACGGACGGAACTAACGATCCAGGTCCCGCCAGGCACCCTTCCAGGATCCAGCCCCGCCCTTCCCGTCACCTAGCCTGGCGAGAAGGGCCAGGGGCGGGGCGTCCGCCTGTGGGCGGGGTGAGGGGGCGGGGCGTCCGGACGCATGGCCCTCCCAGTACATGCGCCGTGAGGGTCCAGCAATGGCTGCGCCCGAGGAGTCGTTGAGGAAGCGGAAAACTGGCGGCTTAGTCCCGGGGCCTGGGTCCCCCCCAGCTCCGGGCCGCGATTCCACGGGCTTCCAGGCCCGCCTCCGCACGGGCACCTTCTGGCTGACCAGGATCGTGCTCCTGAAGGCCCTAGCATTCGTTTACTGTGAGTGCCGGGCAGGCCCGGGGCTCCCTCCACACTCAGCAACGCCGCGCGCCCCCCGCCCCCTTCGCCCCACCCCTCAGCGCCTCAGGTCCGGACGCGTAGCTCTTCCCACATTCTCGCCCTCCGCACGCCCCCTCCTCCCTGCCGCAATCTGGGTAAGGCGAGGCCGAAGGGACGGGAGAAGAGGGAGAGCAGAAGATCACTTAGCAGGTGACTCTGCACCTGGTCTCCCTTTGCCCTCTGTCGGCGCCCCGGGAACCCCAGTCTCCGCCCGCCGACTGTAGGCTCCCAGGACCCTACCTTGTGCCCCCTAGAGTTGATACAGTGTGCCTATATGTGGCGGGGGCGGCTCCAGGGCCCTGTCTCCGAAGCTTGAAGTCTATCAGGGGCCAGCTACAAGTCACCCAGTTCAGTGTCAGATGGGGATTTGAGTCCTCGCTGAGGGGCTCTGCACGGCCTGCCCCATGGCACAGGGTGGCCACAGTTGTGAAGTGAGTAAGACATCTCCACCTTTCCCTGGCCTCTGCATGCTTTCATGTTCCTCTGCTGCATCCCGTACCCCCAGCACCCTCTTCTGTGACATCTGGGAGCCTCCTCTCTCTTGTGTCTCCCAGTGGTGAGTGGAAGGTGATGGCTGGTGGCCCCGCTGAAGGATATTCTTTAAGGTTGTCACAAAGCTGCTCACCCTGCCTTTGGGAGGATTGGCAGAGAAGGCTTGGTAGGGACAAGGGCAAGAGCCCTTGAGGACTTCATCAGCACGTGAAGTCTGACTCCTCCCTTAGGGATTTGGTCAGATCCGGATTTGACCCACTGGTTGAGAACCCTTCAGCCCATAATTGTGCGGGACCTGTCAGCCTGCAGAGCAGAATTCTAAGAAAATTCAGTTCTGGCTCAAAACCTGTAGATAATGTGGCCTGGCAGGGGGTAGCTGCCCATTCCAATTCTTTCTCACTCCATCCCTTAAAACCCAGAACTTTGGTTTGGAGAACTGTTCTTTGGTCATGGGGACATTAGTGAACGTGCAAATAAATGCTCCAAAAGCTCACCCTGTCAGTAGTAAGGAAGACTGAATCCTGAAGTTCTCAAACAGGCCTAGAAGTGCAGGGAGAGTGTGAGAAGGTGTTGTCGGGGCTGAGAAGGTGCTGTTCAGGGTGAGCACTGGAGGGGTCCAGGGGCTGGTCCAGGCACTGCCAAGCACGGTTGTACGCTGTGGGCATGGAGTGTCTATCTCATTTTTTCACCTACTTTCCTCACATGTGGAAGGAAAGATTCCCATTGTAGAAGCTCTTTGGACAGCATCTGTTCCACAAATGCCATGGGAACTTTGCTGGCATTTCTGTGGAAGGGTGAGGCTGGATTTCACATCATGTGTGATGACTTGGGTCACCTCTTAGCGCAAAGCAGAGACATGGTCATTGCCATGTGAGATTGCCATCGTGGGCTTCAGCTCAGGCACATGTGCTGTCACACAGCACTTTCCTTCTCTAAAGCTATTATAAAACAATAGTTCTTCCTGGTGTTACTTTATCCTCAACAGTATTAAACAGTCATTCTAAAGGTTTGCGCTGTCACTTAGCAAAAGATGAAGTCAAGATAAAGTGAATCTGTTAGACTTTAATAGACCTTTAAAAGGAGAGCCTATGATGCAGTGGAAAACCCCAGTGGCTTTGCTTGCAAGAGCACAGCTTTATAAAACCCGGCTCAGGGGGCTCTTTCAGTGAGCAGAGGCTGCCTTTGATCTCTGCAGGGATTCACTGTTCCATTAGATTTTAAGCCACTTGGGTCAAGCAGATATTTTCAGCCTGGTGCCCAACATGGAATAGTTTGCTTTGACATATGCATTTTTTTCTGTCTTATGAGTATATCTGGGATGGAATCAGTGCTTTTCAGCTTCATCAAGGAACCAGTTTTCCATATTCCAGGGATGTGGTTTTTTGCCAGAGATGGCCTGGTGCAACAGTCATCTTGCATTTACCTCTTTCTAGAAAGTTCTAGATCTTACTGGAACTGTGAGCCAAACCCTGTCCCACAGAATCCCAGGGTTTTTCCAGAATGCTGTAGGGGCTCTCCAAACATTTCACTTGATGTTGAGTTTTATAATGTTTCTAACTATTGAAATACTTGTAATTAAACAGTCAGCCAAATGTGTTCTGTAGACATTCCTCTTGTTAATAGACATTGAACTTAGGCAGGGTGAACTTTAGGCAACTTGTCTCCAAAAGCATGTAATAAAAATATAGAGATCAGGAGAACTTACTACATCAGAAATACAGAAAGGCCTGGTAAAAACCCAGAGAGGCCAGCAACATGTCTCGTTTTATTCCAGCCCAACTTGGCATATGTGGTGGTGCTGGTTCCTTCCCCAGTGGCTGCAGATGTTTCTGTGTGGTGTTTCCAGGGCATGTAGATGCCGAGGGTGAGTACACTGCACACAGTTCAGGCTATGCATGGTATGGTTTCCAGGGCCATCTTGCAGTGGTGATGCCATGGTTGTTGGTGCGCGTTCTGTCACAGGGAAGCAGCATTTTAACAGGGCTGCCAGAGCAGGTTGGAATAAAGACAAACCTGTCATCCTAATACCTGGATCCCTGTTCCTAAGAATGCTTGTATTGAGCAGATATTATTGTAGCACCTTGCCTGGGTGCTTTGCAAGTCCATGGTTACCTCCTAATGGTGTCATACTCCTGGTAGGCATTGGGATGCAGGCTTGGCTGTTGGCTGGATAAGCATCAAGTGCTAACAGGCCAGGAGTCCAGGCCTCTGACTCCAGCCCACATATCCCAGGCACTAGCTTTATTTCTCAGGCCTTCAAGGGTCCTTGGTGGCAGTGGATACCTGATAATGCCCGTTCACATAGCCCAGGATACTTCTCCCAGGAACAGGTGGATTCTGGATGTGTGAAAGCTCATACTACAGGACTTACTGGCTTCGGCTGTGGGATCTGGATGCTGTGCCTGTGGAGTGTGGGTGCTGGTGCCTCCTGTAGTTAGCCCTGTTTTTGTCCCTGTGTGTAACAAGGAAATAGAGCCAATGAGTGAGCATCACACTCAGGGTCACTGGGGGCCCAAAGAGCAGAGCAGCCTGGCCGGAAAGCCCTTGCTGCCCCAGTGACACAGCCCTCTCCTGATCGTCGTTGTGCTGGCAGGTGTGTCCTGGTATTCTCTGATGAAGAGTGGGACTACCAGGGACCCCTCTGGAGCCTTTCTGGGACATATGAGGACAGCAGTGGGTGCTGTCTTAAGCCTGCCGAGGTACAGGTGGCCCATGGATGGAGCTGGATGCACTCTCACTTTGTCTTAGAAATGCACCTGCAGTGCTGAGCCCCTTTCTGAGCCGTAGTAGATATGGATTGAGGACCTTGTAGCTCTTTTGGACCCTGTGGTGAGAGGTATGTCCAGTACAGAGCAGGGTTAGAGCCCCTTCAGCCAGCCTGGTTCCCAGACCATTCAAAGTCCCACTTCCAGGGGACTGAGGAAGGTCCGGTGGCGAGCAGCCAAGGGCAGCTGGGGCTGAACTCATGGGATTTTGGGCAGCCCTGTTGTTAGGGTCGCCACCTGTGGAGCTGCATTAAGCACTAGACTGATGCTGTTGGAGACCTCCCGGGTAGACTTTCAGTACCTGTGCCAGTTTTTCCTGTACCGGACTCAAGTTGATTTACTATTGATGAGAACCACTCATAATGTGTAGGCAATGTGTTTAAGTCACATTAGAATTGAGAAATTATTTGGGAATAATATAAGTACAGTTAATTAGAGTTGGATTTATTATTAGTTTGCTGAGAACTTTCCGGAAGCTTGTGATAGGTGGGCACTGCAAGGCTCAGAGCTGGTCTCCCACACTCTGGCTGTGTGTGACCTTGGCCACACTACTCATCAAGATGGTTCTGTCCTGAGGAGGTGAGAATAGTGACCTCAGTGCCCCTGGGGCTGAGGCAGGGCTGCTGTGCAGCAGCACCATTTCCTAGAGCACAGATGGAGGATGGCTAGGAGGGCCCACAGTCAGCTGCTGTATACCTGGATGTAGCAAAAGGACATTTCTGTTGTAGTTCAGATATTTAGGAGAGGTTTTTCCAATTAGGGAGGCATTCATGGGAGACCAGCCGGGCTTTCACAGACTGGCTGTGCTGACAGGCACTTTCTGTGGGTGCTGTGTCTGGGGATGGCCAGAGACCCTCAGGGGCCATCTCAGCTCATGCCCTCTTGGAGCTGAGCCCCAGACACCGTGAGGCTTGTGTGCATATGCTGTGCAAGGTCTGGCATGTGCGTGCACACAGGTGGTCCCATTATGAGTGCCAGGGCTTCCTTATTGCCTCTCAAGGTTGACATCTGCCTATGCTGCTTAGAACGAGAGATTAAGCCCAAGAGGATGAGCCGAGGTGGTGAGGAAGGCCCAGCAAAGATAAGAGAGGGCCCAGGCCTTAGTGACACCAGCTAGCATACCCCTGAAATGACTGGCCACAGGCTGCTTGTGAGAGAGGGAGCTGTGCCTCCCAGCAGCCACCCTGCATGGAATCCAGGTTACCTGCCTGGCATGCACTGGCAGCTGCTCTCTCAGTTTGGGCAGCTCTGGCTGTGTCCCCTCAACATGAGGTATCCCCTCTCCCTGACTGTGGCCCCAGACTGCCTGGCCTAGACTGCCCTTTTTCTCTCTGGCTGCATAAGTGCTACTTCCCTTCAGCCTTAGCTCCTGTCACCTCAGGGACCCTAACCCTGTCCCGGACTGAGTAATCAAGCCCTGCCTGCCTCCTTTATCTTGGCACTTTGATGCTGTCCCTGTTGTGGAATTGTCCTGACTGGCCACCTGGCCACCTTGAGCCCCTTCCAGTCAAGGAGAGGGCTTCATTTATGCCTCCACCCTCTGCTCACTGAAGGGCCCTGACCTGTTACAGGTTGCTTCTCGCTGATGTGTCAGCATGGACACCTCTCCAGACCTATCCCCTCCCTTACCCCCCAACCCCCAGCCCCTGGGTGTCACCCACTCAGGACACAGACTACTCAGAG